GCCAAGTTCAGTCTAAATGGCATGGACCATTGTGCCTTGGTGCTTTATATCTGTTAACCACTTTATTTATCAGTTATTTCCTCTAGTATTTGTCGTTTATGGGGAGAGGGGGGGGGGTAAGAGCAGTGAGAGCACTATGGCTCAGGCAACTTCTACGCCTGTGGCACGCGGTCTGGCCCATACAGCAGGAGAAAACCGACGAAACCGATGAATCCCGACGACCCTAGTTGTGAGCGCCAGCTGAAAGAGTTGGCGCGCACGAGAGTCCATGGCGCAATTTTTTAAAAAGTAGGTAAGATGGTGGACGGTAGGACACACAACAGAAGAGAATGAACGGACTCCAGAATGGTGCAGTTATTTCACCGCGCTGCATAACAGGTTGGAGGCCTAGCAGTGCGCCTGCAGGTTCGGCTGCTTGTAGAGGACACTCATGGACCGTACAGCGAGTGTGTGAGTGTGTGTGTGTAACGGGTTGCTTTGCTGACCGCTGCACAACTGACGGGCTCGGCAGTCCCACCTCTCTCTCTCTTATTCTTCCTCTTCTTCCTCGTCGCTCGCGCTCCGCGGCTCGCTCGCTCGAGGGGCAGGGAGTGACAGGTGTTTGGGTCTAACGGCGAGGGTTGGGACTGGAAGATGAATAATGGCAGTGACTCGGCAACAAAAAATAAACACCCGTTGATTTTATTTTCGCTGCCCAGCAACGTCCTCTGAAGTTCGAACTTGCATAAGAGACAATTGGTCAGTCCATGGTATTAATTGGTAACTGCACCACACGCACTAGTGCACAGCTGGTGCCAAATCAGTGTTCTGTTTTACTTTTTGTTTTTTCAGTGCCTAGGAGCATGTGAAATCTAAATGTCAACGGACTTCTTTGTGCATAAGTAAGTTCAGATGCAATATTGTATCTAAAAATACACTTTTCGTACCTAGCTTTGTAATATTATTGTATAGGGTAACCTCATGCAGACAGTAGCCCGGTTCCGGGGTTCAAGTGCTACGTACAATATTTGTCCTTGGACTATTAATGTGTGCTTGGGAAAGCCTTCAGACATTTTAGGAAAAGGGCAGGCTTTTTTTTTAGGGTGAACGCGGGGTTGCGACATCACGCTAGCTAGCCGGAACCGGGGGAAGTCTCCAGTTTGTTTCCAATCGACTCGGATCGCCTCGAACCCAAGGGGGAGCTCGAATGGAGCCCGTAGGGGACTGGAAGGCTCCAGGCTAGAGCCTCCAGGCATCCGACGATGCCTTATTCAAAGCGAACACCTCTAGGGGGAACCTCCAGGCAGGCTGGATATTCCAGGCAGAATCTCCAGGCTGGAGCCACCACGCTGGGATGGACATGGACGGGACCATCACATCAAACGCACCCCGAGGTGAACATCCGATAAATCTTCCCGACTTTGCGCGCGATTTATGGTTGTCCCTCATCCGAGCCGAGCCGGGGCGAGCCGAGTCGGTGAGCGACAGCTGCAGCCGGGAAGCGTGAAAGTCCGGCGCACGCGCGTTCATACATGTGAGAGAGAGGAGGGGCGGGAGGGAAGGTGGGGGGGAGATGATGAAACCGCAGAGAAATAAAAAGATATAGAGAAGGTAACCCTTCCTAGAGAACACAGCTCGGTCAAAATGACGTCAAATTATGTCACTGTCAATATTTGGTCATTTGGTGGCCAGCTTCGATGCCATTATGACCATTATAGGATGTCATTTGATGCCAAATTGACAAAAAGTCTTGACACTGACATCACTTGATGTCATTTTGACAAAACATTGTTCTTTGGGTTGTTGCTATAGTTAAAGGGATTTTTCAGGCCAACAGGGGCGGATTAAGTCGGCACAGGGGAGAGTGCGCCCAAGGGTGATCTCCATACAGGTGGTTTATGGAGCGAACTCCTTACTTTTGAAGTTGCTAACTGCATTTAATTTGACTGAAATATCAGCAATTATCAATGGTCTCGTTAAGGGCTTTTTTCTGACTATGCATTAGTGACCAGCAATGCTTGCTGATAATTCAGTAATCAATGTACACTATTGTGTTTTCAGAGTGAGCACACTACAGGTGCAGCAGTCTCGAATAAGGTACTCGAAAGCAGGTTGGTTCAAACACCACGGTGCTTTTTGTATGGAGCGGGCCAGACTGGCCTTGCGCCTCAGGAGCTGGTCCTCTCACCGTGCAACAGTCACGACCCCGCTGCATGCACACCAGTGTACCCTCTGAAACAAAACGAGTGTGTCCAGGAGAGAGTCCTGATGGACAAAGCTGACTGATATATGTATTTACTGGCTATCAGATAATTTCACTGGCTATCAGACGTAAATTGAGTTTCGAATGGCTAATAGTTCACTGAACAAAACTGTCGTGACGGTTACATGAAAATTTTCCATACAATCGTACAATAGCAATTCAAGATGGTAATTATAAAAAGCTCTGCGTATAGATTTGAAATCGAATGACGAGCAAGAGTGGGAGTTTAGTGGAAGGTTGTTCATGAACGACCCATTTTGTAAAAGACACATTAAATAATCTTCAATAAAACTTTCTTTAATCTGACCCCCATTTTCCAGTCGCCTGCGATTTTAGACACGATCGCTAGACACTAGCCTTCTAATTTTATCGTTTTGTTTAAGAATTTTAGGTTGAACGAAGCGCAATAAAAACACAGAAAAAACAAAGAAACCCCCAAAGATGTATGAGGATTGTGGCGTGGCTATACGTGAGCAGCAGCGCTGCACTTGCGTGCGTGGTGACAGACCTTGGGGTGCAGCGCCGACCGCCGCCGACGCCGCGCCACTTTCACTCTACAGCCACCCTTCGAGGAGGCGACGAGGTGCGGCGCATTGTTCTACGTGCGAATGCGAGAGAGGGCGACCGCGGGGTCGGTCATCACGATCGCCGTCACGTTAATCACACATTTAAAAAAAAGTTCCGTCAAAGAACGGATCGTGAAAGCAGATGATGCAAATTTGATACCTGTGCCTTGTTTAACTTTGTCCTGATACTTAGAAATGTTCAGTAAGGTCTACAACATATAACGATCAGGTTTTAATTTTTAAATATGTGAATGTCACAAATACTTTTGTTAAGCGGACGCCTGCAGTTTGCCATGAGATATGGAAATGTTTAGACAGTCCTAAAGAATTGTTAGCTTTTGAGTAGCGGTGGAAGGGTGGCCTGGGGAAGGCAGTGAGGCCGAAAAGTGTTTTAAGTATGATATGATATGCGCCCGGGCCGAGCAGGGCGAGTGCAACAAAAAGGGAGGGGGGCTGATTAGTTCTGGATAGCGTCACTCCTTGTTGCCTCTCTGCACACTGCATGACAGTACAAGTAATGACACTTTACATTTAGTGTGTAGACGAAGATGCACGCCAGACAACGTCTCGCGTACCCTTCGTGATATCTTACGGCACACTGTTTCGGTGCGACCCACCTGGCATCTACCTAGACTTTGGTCGCTGACACCCGAGTCGGGTAAAGGCGGCATAGGAGCCTTTCGGCCCCCACAATACCTTCAAAGGTAGTGATCACTGGAGTGATGGGCTTTGCTATCGCTCAGTCAATATGTTACTCTAAACGTTTTCCGCCTCCCTGGTGACGCAATACAAACATATACGCAGAACAGGCGTGGGACGCGAGCGGCCCAGCTAGTGGGGCAGGTCAGGAAAGGAGATGAGAGGGAGAGGGAGAAGGAGAGAGACAGAGGGAGGGAGGGAGAGGGAGAGAGAGAGAGACCAACTCGGAGCGGTACCCCCTTGGCACAAGTCAGGTTAGGAAGTCCCTGCTGGTCCCTCGTAATATTTCGACGGTGGCTTTGGCCTTTTGGCAGCTCGTTGGCTTGGCAAGCGTAGGAATTTGTCCCACCGGACCGATTAGCTGGCCTGGTTAGTTCGGCTGGTCGCCCCGGAAGTACTTCGCTCGCCCACCACGTCGGACCGGGGGCACCGGGCCGTCTGTCCGTCTCTGTCGCACCAGTGAAGGGCCCGGGCCGCTAGATCCGACGCTTGGAATGGGATTTCTCCCTCCCGCCCCAGCTTCGCGTTCGCGAGCGATCGCGACACGAAATCACTCAAAAAGTCACCCGCGGGACCGGCCTCCCGCGAGATTTCAGGTTGTCGTGGCGGCGCGGTGCGAGGAAAATTCTGTTCCGAAGCTGGTTGGGGCCTTTTAGTGGGTTATGTCATTAAGTGGTTACCGGTAATGGAAACGGGCCGAGCAAGAGAGCAGGCCAGCCAGTTAACATTCGCTATTAAAGCGGCGTGATGTCAGTATCAGAGACGCGTGTGTGTGTGTGTACAAGGGGGAGAGTTTGAGAGAGACAAAATGGTTGAGGGGAGAGGGGTAGTTAACGGAAGATCCTGACATTTACAAGAATTTACATATTCTTACTGCGCGTGCGATCCTCTGTGCCCAGTTTCGTCGAAGCTTGAGCTAAACTATGCGGCGCCTATGATGTGGCCATGCGGTCGTCTCCAGCCTTCTACAATAAATAACTGAACTATAAATATAAACTGCGGGTGGGGAGAAACTTTCTACCAGACCAATAGCTGATCAATATTGTATTATGTAAGAAGTATCGACAAAGAGTTTAGCCCCCATTCCCCCACGCGTCAGTAAGCACCTACGCCCGGTCAGAGAGAGAGAGAGAGAGAGAGAGAGAGACAGAGAGAGAGAGAGAGAGAGAGACAGAGAGAGAGAGAGAGAGAGAGAGAGAGAGAGAGAGAGACTCGCACACGATTCGATCGGCTATCCGTGAATGGTCCGCTTAATGAAGGCAAAGGAATAGAGAGCACGTTCCATACAGTCTTCATTTGCGCAAGAAGATCATACGACCAAAAAGGATCAATCTCTTTCAATTGCCGGACAGGAAATGACGAGAATGACTTAAATGACTTTCAACCAGGGAGTGGGGAGAGGTGGAGGGCGCGGTGTCTATTAGTGTTGCAAACCAAAAAACCTTTTCTTTTACACAAGGTTGCCCTCACTCGATGAGGGAAGGGATAGAATAAAAATTGATGCGATTTCTTTCAAGCTTAAGCCGCGCAAGCCTCCAGGAGTTCCTTGATCCTGTACCATGACTCTCCGCGCGCCGCACCGAACGGAAATGGCTGACGCATTCTATTATTACACATCTTGTGCTCGCCACCTTGCCCACCTTGGCTCCACTTGCAGCAGGCAAATGACGGCTAGTCTTTTACTCCTTTGTACTACGTCTACTCTTCCTTTCAGGAAAAAGAGAAAATAAGAGAGAAAAAATTAGAGGCCGGGATCGCGTTCTGCAGGTTAGCGTGTCGTCTGGCATTGCTTGTGTAATAACTGTCTGCTGTCGCCTGCTCGTCAAAACGGACTTAACTCATGTGTCAGATTCACCGTACTTCGGTCTTTGGTAAGTGATCACAGACAGAAGATGAGATGTGTCGAACCAAAACTAAACTTTTCTACGTTCTGCCATGGAAATCAGAGATTAGCAGGTTCTTTGGCTACGCCTTCAAAAATAGAGGAGATGTCAATTATGCTCTAGTTATGGTTACGAAAGAAATTATAGAAAACTTGATGGAAACTGAGATTTCCTACACCATTTACTGGCTTAGAATTATGGCCATTCACTGTGAAAATGAATTGTATCATAAAGTTAAAATACAAGGACGATTGCGTCCTACAGCTAAAAGTGAAGGTGAAGGCGCGCCCCCAAAGTGACAAAATGGACCATGCACTTAAAACTTAGAAAACATGGTACTGCACTTCTTATGAGTTGTGAGACTTCTATACTACATTAAAGTTTCCAAAGTAGAACGATACATTCTTATATTGGGATGGGGCCTCAATTCACTGGGCCAAAGGGAGGCTGCCGGAAGTCAAAGCTCTTTAATAATTTTCTTAGCGTTGAAAAAAAAGAATTAGGGCTGGAGAGAACCATTTTCGCTTTGGAGTCGCGCCCGCCTCGGCGCAACAGCAGTCCGTGTCCGTACGAAGCGCGAGCTGCCCGAGCCCCCCGGTTCCACCGGGCAATCATGCTCCTATGCCCTGTGGCCGACCCGACTCTGCGCAGGTCGTGACGGACGTGTTGAAACAGAAAATGGATACCTTTGTCCGGTCCGCCAAACCGCCACCAGCAGTTCCGATTTGCCGTCGTGACGTAACCGTGCGCGGGCGGTTTGGTTTGGCGCGCGGCGGGCTCCACTTGTGGTCTCTGCATGGCATTATTATTGTGTGGAAGGGAAGGCGCTGCTGCCGCTTGCTACAGAACATTGTGGTGGCCGGGCGAAGGGCGCTTCAATTTAATTATTGACTGGGCGTGTGTGCATGTGTGTGTGCGTGTTGCGGTGTGGTGTGTGTGCGTGGGCGCACACACCAGAGTGTGTGTTATGCCACGGCGATGCGATGCGATCATGTGTGTTGCAGCGGAACCGCGGAGCGGATATGTGGACGTGGGTGGCGCGGCCCCCGCGGCCCCGGCCAGGTCAGCGTCAGCAGGACTATTATTAGTTGGCGAGTGTGTGTCTGTGTGTGTGTTGGTGTGCGAAACAGAAAGGTACCGGTGAAACAGAAGATGGCAAAGATGACATGGGCGGCGTCTGTTTGTCAATAACAGCGGATTTTCTGTTTGAAAAACTGAACAATCAGAGTTTAAACTTTAAGTCAGTGCTGGTTATGCTAAATTTTACGAAATAAATATGTACGTACTATATAAATCTTAATTTCTACTTTCTGTCGATGGTCGTTTTGGGTGGTAGTCTTTTTACGGCGTCTTCCTGCGGCTGGATTCATGCCTCATACGGAGAGAGATGATACCGCCACACGTCCTGTTCTTTAGTGGTAATGAAAAATCATCATCTCAACCGCAACGGTGGGGTGAGGGGGAGGGGAGGAGAGAGTGGAGGATTTGGATGAGGATGGAGGGGGAGGGAGGGGGCAATCGTGAGGTGCGATGGGCGGTCAACCTCAACTGCACTCGCGACCTTTGACGGCGGGACCGCCGCGGCGAACTAATATTTTTCTTCCCTTTCTCATCGAGATCGCGACGGGCACCGCGCGCGCAAAAAAGAAATGAGAGAAGCAGAAACGGAAAATTACAAGTTGTTGGACTCTGCAGCGCGGGGGAATGACCCGCGCGAAGCGTTTGCGCCCCATTGTACACCACTATCATTGTCTCCTTTCGGGACGACTTTTCTCGTTTTCTTTCCCCCCCTAGGCCTGCTAGTACACTGCCCCGGCCCGGCCGCGGATGGTCGCTCATCCGCCCAGTCTCCAATGCGCCAATTGTCAGCATTACTCACCTGAGGGCCTGGTGGCCTGGGTGAGCGCCGGCGCCGAACGCGAAGCGATTCCTGCAACAGAGTCATATGAAGATGAGTGACAAATCGCGGACAAACCACAAAGGAGAAAGCAATAACATCAGATAAAAACAATAAAGATCAGACGTTCATTTTATTTATTTTTAAACCTCCTCAGGTTTGCTCTGCCACGGCTGATTTGCACGACGCGATCCGCTTGACTTCCTCGCGGCCTTAAGAGGGCTCTCTCCCACATGAGCGCCGCTCGTAAGGGCTCGCGCGGCCCGAGTGACGGGGTTAGACGGGGTAAGGTGCGGTGGGGCACGGCGGTGGGGTAAGGCGGGTGACTTTCTACCCGGGCGATATGTCAGGGCCGACGCGTAGGCGGGTCGCTGGGCGTGGCGTGGTGCGGCGGACAGGTGCACGTCACTCGCACCAGCTCGGCCTGCATTAATCTGCGCTTTCTAAACGCGATAATCAAACAAGCGGCTCAGTTTGTTTTGCGTTTCCGATCGCGACTCATTTTGTTTTTGTTTTGGGGAAAGGCCCGATGCATGCGGGTCGGCATAGAGCACACGGCTTAGGGATAGCGAAGCCCAGTACTCCACTGACCAGAAACATTTTTCATTCGGTTTGTTTGTTTGTTTGTTTGCATGATTGTTGTTTTTTATTTTGTTTTTTTTTTTGTTTCTGTCCGGACGATAACTTGATAGACTTGAATACTTTATGGGCATGCGATCTGAAAGTTTCAGGGTTGAAAATAAACATTTTTGCTAAAATAATGACCTCTTAAAATGAATCAGTGATTCGCGACATATCACAAAGCCTGTTACGCGAGACGCGGTCTGGCGTACATTCAGCAATTATGTATAACAGGGAGTTCAATAAATAAAATACAACGATTGCTTGGTGGTCCGTAAAAGTCCTCGGACGGGATGGGATGAATCAGAGTGTCAAAGTTTACTTCTAGTAGGAGAGGAGTTTAAACTCATAAAATAGCTATACTATTTTATAAATTTTCGACGCAGTAAAATTCAAAATTTCAAAAGCAGAATTGGATTTCTCTAACACAAACAGCAAAACAATCAGAGTAGAAATGTTATAATAGTTATTTTAGGACGGGTGAAGTCAAGTCCTTTCCGTTTCCCTCCACATTTTTCAAGGTATGTGACATGCTGCTGAAGAACTTGCAAACGTGTTTGCCAGTTCAACACTTTTGGACATTTCACTGTTGGTGTTATTTGACTCTGAAAACGGAATCAACAAACAAACATGCAGAGAGAGAGGGAGGAAGTGCGCGCACTCTTTGAGGGGAGGCGTTTCTGCCGCTCGCTCAGCAGAGAGTATAGCCAGTGAGGGTGAGGTAACGCCCCAGCTATCAACCCATCTATCTGATTGGTCGCGTTTCCATCACGTGCACGTGCGCCCCTCCACCCACACGCACACACGCACGCACACACGCACGCACTCACACGCACTCACACACACGCACACACAGGTGCGTACGGGGCGCCAGCTGGAGTACAGTTAACCGTTTCGCACCATCGATTCTGGTCTCGCTCCAGCGGGCACTCGCGTTGCACAACCCCTCCTGGCCAGAGCTTGTCCTAAGCATGCGGGGGGAGAGGAGGAGGGGAGGCTTTGTGCGGCGGTATTTGGAGTCCCACGTCAGTCAGGGCGGCGCGATGCCGTATCGGCAATATTTCAAAGGAGTTTAAAGCGCGCGCCGCACACGACCACACCCAACGACATGACACGTGACAAATCGCTTAATACTGAGCGGTATAATATTTCCGCAATGCAAAACGGTAGTAGTAGTATCACCACCACCACGCTCAGTTTGACACAAATTTCATACTTCTTTTTTTTCAATAGTCGCGCGGGCGCGTTCCCACAACCAGCGTGGATATGTAATACAATACGGCTGCCAACTCAAAGCAGGCTGTATGAAGGCATTATGACGTGAGCGGTGTGTTGCTTACGACCAAGCCCCATCAGCCGGACGCGCGGGCGGGGGGGAAGCAGAGGTCCGTGTGCGATTGTTGCCTGTGAGACATTATCGCTGCATTTTTATCATGTTATTCCCCCTCTTGAAGCATGTGTGGCGCTAAATAAGTGTGCGAAACTCCTCTCCCTCCCCCTCCACCTCCCTTTTCCTAAACCCGTGTGGAAAACGGAACTGGCGCATTTTTGAGACCGTGCAGCCGAGCGGCGGCCTGCTATGGGAGCAGGGAGTCCACTTCCTTAAGCCCCGCGTCCTGCCCCCTCCAGTCGCAGGCGGCAGGTTCTAGCTCCAGGCCGAACAGACTGCGTGGGAGGTGGCAAGGGAGGACCGTAAGCTCCCAAACGGACTGCCGATAATGATGGATGATAATCGATGACGATCAGTTACAATCGTCGGCAATCGCTGATAACCGGTAATAACCAGTGATAATCGATGAAACTGACGGTAATATTTTTTTGGGACAAGTCGGAAGATCAATTCTCTCTCACGAGCGAATTGGATGAAATTATATTACTGCGCGTCATCAATGCGAAATGATTGCAATTTTTCGCGTGAGAAAACGTCCGACTAAGGAAGGCGCCGGCCGGTGGTGGTACCGACTGGTGCTCGACAAACGCATACAGAATGTGGGAGGGAAGAGGCGAGCCGGGGGTCGGGAAGGTGAGAGGCGAGCGTGTCGCAGCCTCGATGAGATGGAGCAGGCGGAAAAGGCGGCAGTCGGCAGCCGTTCATTTCCTCCTCTTACGGCGAGACGTGCCTGCCCCAAAGTGAATATCAACTCCGAAAGAAGTGCCGAAACCGTAATGTTCCCTACAAGAGGCACACAAACCGCGTAGATCCCCGGCGGCCCCCACGCCCGCGACTGCCGCAGCCGGGCGGCTCCGGGTGGCTCCGGGCGGCTCCGGGCGGCTCCGGGCGGGCCGCCGCCGGCTCCACAGAGCTCTGCTTTACAGTTTCCGGTCCCGCGCGGCCCACACCGCTCTCCTGCCAGCTCCGGGTGGCACTTCTTTTTTTTTCATCCAGGCGGCGCAGCTGGAGGCAGAGATGCAGCCTCTGGAGCCCCGGAGTGAGATGGACTCCCGTGCATCGAGTCGCATGGCATTTCCGGGCGAGGAAAGTGTGCGTTGCTTATGGGCCCGCATATCCATCCCTCCCTCTCACTTCTCTGTGCGTGTCTCTCCTTCTCTCCCGTCCATCCTACTTGGACCCTGCACTTATACTATCGCGCGCACGAAGAAGCCAGCCGAACCCCCGCCAACGACAGGGTAGGCCACCCGCCGAGGTGCTCTGCGCTGCACAACTGGGCTAACCTACCTGGCAGGCGTTAGCATCTGCCTATCCCTTATACATCTAACTTTTACAGAACCGCATGTACAGGGATTCGCATACATCTCTGTACAAAATAGTAGGTATGTAGATATTATCAAAAAAACTGCAGCACTTTGTCAAAGGGCGTGTTTCAGGCCAAACCAAAGGGGCCGAGGGTCTTTGTACATCACGACCAGCAAGTGCAGAGGAAATTTTATATTCTTTATCAACATTATTGTTTTCAATTGGATAAAAGTTTTCTATGCGTATAGGGAAAATTTAAGATTTGGCTGAGTAAGCTTAGTGCAACACATAAACTGTAAGTGCTTTCAAGTGGAACACTTCCAAGTCTAAAGGATAGAGCTGAATAAATAAGGCTCATTTCGCATACACAAAGGACATGCTCGTGCCAATTTTCACACCTCTTGCAAATTTGCAGATCGCAGTGTGTGTGCAATCGGCTAATCATAAAATGGCGCTGTGCAATCGTTGCGCCCAACACTACGGCAGGGCCTTAGCCAGGTAGAGAGATACATAGAAAACAATACGCATGTTGCATATCGATAGATATCGAGGGGTTCGGTGTAATGGCACGGCGCCACAGCCTCAGCCGCCTGCTGCTCTCGGTGTGCCGCACTGTGCCACAAGGGTCCACATTGGCACTGCGAATGTTGTGCCACAGCCACACACTCCGGGTCACGCTCTGTGTCATATTATTGCAGCAAACCAAAATAGGTGGTACGTACCCCCTCCCCCCTTTCCCCCTCTTCACTAAAAAAAAGAACGCCAACATCACCTTTCGTCCTCTTGTCAAACGAAAGGTCAGTATGAGAGTCAATCTTTGGGTGTCCTCGGGGCGCTCGGCCGCGGCTGCGGTCGCACTCATTGTCCTGTTGGAGGATTCATTTTTCATCGTTCGCAGCGTATAATCGTGGTTCGGTTTTGATTGACCTCGATTCCGCACGCGCGGTGCAGCTGCACTTTCATTTACTGCGATCACGGCGAAGGGAGAGAAAAAAAAAACGTATCGGTCTGCTCGGCGCGCTATTACGACCTCCCCGAGTGATTCTATATCTTAATCGCTGCACTGAAAAGGGGGGAAAATGATTTGTTGTTTTCGAACGATATTTCGGTGGTGCGTCGGACCCACCTGGCAGGGCAGGGCGGAGCGTGGCGGGGCGTGGCAGTGATCTCACGTCCATACGGCGTGCAGAGCGTGCCGATGGAGGTGGATACGCGTGCTGGTGCGTTACGAGCGGGCGGGGCGGGGCGCGGTGGGGCTGACCGATGGCTGACCTAAAATAATAACTTGGCCAGTTCCATGCCACCCGTCGCCGAATGCTTCTCACGGCTCAACTGCCGTCAGTTCACCACTAAACGGAAAATTTTATTTCTTCACTTAAAATTTTCGCTTTGATTCACTTATAACCTCTTACGGCAAAACAATGTATATCGACGTTTCTATTACAAGATTTCCCTTTACTTTACGAGTAATGAGTAGCAGAGTTGAAGGGGGAAACACGGATGGAGATCGTTTTGACATGCTTGGCGCATGCATAGGGGGTCTGAAGCCTGCACGCGAATCGAATGGAATTGCGCCTCACACACACACACACACTCGCGCATGACTAAGGCGTCACGTTCACGGGTAAAACAAAAATGTAAAGTTTCAACGTTTCTTGTATGTATCCGAATTAAATGCGGTACATCACATCATATAGCAACTAGAGTTACTATAGTC